ATCAAAATAAATCAGTCTGTCATTTGGGACAGATAAATAACATCAAAAATATATCAGAGTATTGATGGATTAAAATATGAAAGAAAAACATCCAGCACTCATGAAAAGCCTCATATGTGAGCACACATTCATTAAAAACATGCAGATTGTATTTTGTTGGCATATTTTTCATTTTGACACCACTACAAACTCAAATTCTAGAAGTTCAAGCAGGAAATGTTGTAAAAACCGGCAGGTTTGAGATGGAATGACCCCATTGGTGCTGCCCATCTTGTGTTTCCACTTTGGCTGGCTGACCAGGTCACTGAAGCTGATATAATGACCTTTCCTGTCAGCTACACAAGTTCATACCACAGTCAGGAAGCAAAAGTAAGACCCACTGGAAAATTTCAAGATTTCCTGATAGGCAGTCCGCGCTGAAGTAGTCGACACTGAAGTTGGACTTCATCTGATCGCTAGACTAGTGATCTTCTACAGAAGCAGCTTGATGCTGTCAAAGAACATGAAAACAGTGACCTGATCAACTAGCCAATAGGGCAAAATGAGACTGTAAGTACCAGAGAAGTTGGTTAGCAGCCTCTGAAGATTTGCATACTGATTCATTTTTTAAAAAAAGAAAAAAAGATGTAAAATATGCTTGAACAGCCATTATTCTGCACAGGCAGACTGCCCAAGTAAAGCCTGTGTGTGGGAGACAATGCCTTGGTCTGTGACTGGCTGAAAACACGTTTTGAGTGAACCCAGTAGGTGTGTGTTGTATCACATGTAGTGACTGAGAAACTCACTAATCAAACGATGGGTAAACACCTTTATCGTCCAGAAATGCCGACTGATTGAATGTTTGACAATGAATTGCGCCAAGGACATAGACAGTCCATGGCAAAATTTACTGTAGGGCTGTAACTGGTTTGCTATCATATAAGGTTAGGTTTAATACAGTTTTCTACTATAGTGATTTCTAACCTTGCTATTTGTAGCTCTGTTCCAGCTGATGTGATAAATATTCATTAGAAAGTTACAGTTTGGTGAAATTCTTCTGATATGGAGCATTGCATAGATTTTCTTTGGGAGCTGTTTCTCACGCAGAAATATTAATCTAGGAGACGTGACCTTTCTTGAGGACACAAATGAAGCAGTTTTGTGTTTTTCTCCACGACATTTGAATGATACTTAAGAAAACAGCAAGAAGCTTGTAAAAAAAACAATGAGAATGCACTTTGAAAGTGTCTGAAAATGACTGATTGTGACTTGTTAAAAACCTAAAGATAGAAAAGAGACTCGTGTGTTCGTGCAAGAAATAAGAAGTGTTCTTATCATTTTGTGGTGGAAATCTGGTTTGTGAAGGCAGGCTAAAGCTAAACGTGTGTTCTAAAAGAAAATCAAATGTTGGTCTTCAAAGTGTTATTGTTAGAAGAAAAAACACTGAGCTTGCTGTAAATCCAGCTGCAGATTCTAAATATGTTTGCATGAAGTTCAATCCAGCGCTCTCTAATAATGTGTCAAACTGTACTGAGCTTTGAAGTGCTGCATTCAAAACCAGGAGATCCTTAGCAGTCAAACTGGGACTTAACTGCTAAGCCATATTAACGATCGTACTCCAGGAACTATCTGGGAACGACGAACACACCGAGCCTGCCTCGCTCTCTACCTCCTCTCCTTTTCTTTTCATCTGTGTTTTCACAAAGCAGAGGAGCTGAGTCTTTGAAAAATGACCTGAGAGAGAAAGGCAGACAGCAGCAAAAGAGGAACAAGGGGGAAGGGTTTTAGCGTCGCACAGGCAAACTCAAGGGGCCACAGTATTAATGGGGAAAGGGCTTCAAAGCTGTTGGTGATGCACAGGGGCCCCAAGCAGGAGATGAGGTGTTAGGGTGCGGGGTGGAAAAAGATGGAAAGAAGAGAAATGAAAGGGAAGGAAGAGGAAGGGAAGCGAGAAGATGCTTTTCTCTTTTCTGTCAGAGTGAGGTCAGCCACTAACTAAATCTTCAGCTTATCATCTTCCTCTCATGCTGTGGAATCTTAGGTCTAGG